AATGGAGGACCATGTTGAAACCTTCAAAAGCAGTCTGAGTACATTGAGAGGATAGGCTTCATTGTTCATGACTTTCAGTGATAGCTGTTGCCCAACTAGGGTTGGAAGTCATAAGAGCCTCTCCTGCCATCTATGGTTTGAGAAGGAAAGACGGAGATGACTTTACTGCTGCTTTGGTATCCCAGTGAGCTGGCTCAGAGTCTTCTTGAGCTGTGTGTCTGTGAGCCCCATTGTGGTTGGACAATTCAGCATGCCTGTGAGTGAATGACTGACTAGGCTGGTCTGTATAACCTAGAAATAGTCAGTTTGATGAGCTTGCCCAAGTAGAAGAGTGAGAAGCATCAAGAGCAGCAGTTTTGGGTGGCACACATATATTTGTTCTGAAATAGACCATTACCATTGAAGGCTGTCCTCTAGAATTGTGAATAGCCCTAAACAAATGGGGTTTCCTTGTCAGGTTCCCATAAGTGTGGGCTCGTTTCTTACCGTGGTCAATCAGTAGAATTTTTTTTTTTAGCACTTAGTGTGCAAAGAAAGGCAAAAGCAGTCCTTGCTCTTAAAGGAACTCACATTCTAATGGATATTGAATGCATTGGTAGGAGAGTATGATTCAAATTTATATATGTACTGCAATGTGATTTATTATTTATGCATTTGCTTTACTATATTAGTGCCTGCAAATATTATTTCCTTTGCTTTCTTTTAAAGTAAATCATTATGTTTAAGATCTTAAAATGTCATTATTGTAAGTAGCTGTATAGATAGGAAGTGCATTGAAGAAGCACTCAACAACTAGAGTGGTGAGTAGGGGAAATCTATTTCTCCCAGCGGGTTTACCCCTAGGACAGTGAGGGGGTTTGAATGTAACCTTGTGGTTTGAGTCTCTCTAGACCTACCAGAATGAGAGCAGGTTGGAGTGAGTGAGCAAACCAGAGAATAGGGAATAGGGGTTGGCCCACCTAAATGAGAGCTGTGAGGCCGTTACAGAGTTTGGGTGGATTTTAATATCACCCACTTGTGGTCTCATGTTTGTAACAACCCTGTAAGGTATAGAGGTCATTTGTTATTACCCTATTTTGCAAAAGAGGCACTAGGTGGCAATTAGAACCAGGTCTTTTCATTAAAATCAAAGCTTGTGGTAAGGAGTGATTGTTTCATTGGGTTTTTTCTATCCTAGTGCCTAGGACAGCGCCTGACGCAGGGAGCGCTTAACTAATACATATTGCTTCATTTATTAATTGATTCTTGCTTTTAATTTACTATTCTTTCTGTTATACTATATTTTCTGTAGTCTAACTGGAGTATAATTATTTAAGCCTATTCCAGGAGAAAGAATAATCCAATTTATAGAATCTTAAAACGAAGAATGAAAGTTTATTAACTTCAAGTGCGTAGGATATTAGAAATTAATAACAATGTGTTACCAAGGAGAGGTCCATGAGAACCTGCCTCAATAAAGAGCTGTGAATCACTTGTAATTGGCAAATTATCTGTATATGGATCAGTGTTATTGATCATGTAGCATATTAAATTTATATGCCGAAGTTTGTTCATCCATTCCCCAATTGATGAGCCCGTGTCACTTAAATTGTTGCTCTTTGCGTTCCCTTTTCATTCTTTTTAAATTTCACTTTCAGGATTAGAATTTTGTTTTACTTCTGACTGTTTCCTCCTGGATATTAGCTTCATTCTTAACTCTACCTTCTGCTATCCCTCCTGCCCCAATCCAGCTTGTTTTCCTGTTGAGTTCTTTGTATTTCTACCCCAAACGTGTGTGTGTGTGTGTGTGTGTGTGTGTGTGTGTGTGTGTTCAGCTCTCCTTTGTTTCATGTAACTGAGATTCATCTGAAACCCAACTCTACCAACCCTTCCTCCATGTTTGTGTACTCTTACTTTCATGCACTCCAATGAAGAGAAATAGTAAATTCTACCCTCGTCTTTCTCTTTTCTGCACAGTGTATTCTTTTTGCCCTCTATTTTCTTCCCCCTGTTCAAAGCCTCAGGACAGAACCAAACTATCCTTCAAGATCTCTATGTTTCATATTTTCTTACTTAATTACTTCAGGACACCATGGTTCTGAAGGGACATCTGTTTCTTCTCTCATTGGTAGAACGTGAGCCATGCATCTTCGTACCACCCCTTCCAATTAACTAAAATAAATATACTTTTCTAGGTTTCTTTTGCCCCCCTTTTTTATTTCCAAGCTCCTACTCAGTCCTGGTCTTTTCATAAGAAATGCTTGAAAGACCTCTATTCCAGTAAAGATCCTTTTTCCCCTCTAGAATTATACTCAGCTTTACAAGGGAAATTAGTCTTCTTTGTACAGCTGTCTTCTTTGAGTTGCAGAATATTACATTCAAAGATGTGTCATTTATAGTAGATGCTGACACATCTTGGGTGATCCTGACTGTGGTCCCTTTGGTATGTAAGTTCCTTTTATATATTTGCAGTACTTTTATTTTGATGATGAAGTTAGAGATTTGTGTTATGATGCTCCTGGGATTTTTCCTTTTATTTTCCCCAGGAGATGACAAGTCAAATTGAGGCTAACAAGTATACGTAAAATGAGGAGGTTTGATTTGATGACCTTTAAGGTCCCTTCCAGCTCTAAATCTCTGACTTACTAAGCTTCTTTATGGAGAGCAGGCACAGGAAAGCTAAATTAACACCATTATCCTCACATTGAAGAAAAATATTCCCTTAATTGTCCAATGAATACTACATCCTTGCCTGTTTGAATCATCAGCTTAACTCAGTCCTCATTTCCTTGTCCCTCTTGAAACTGGAATTGTGCCAAAATTATTACTTTTTCCTCTTCATTCTTTTTTTGTAAGATGGCTTTTGTATGTGATTATGATAATGTAGATCCTAAGATTCTGAAGCTTTTATTAAGTCGAAATTTCATCGAAGCCTGATGAGTAGCACTTTTCAACAGTCTGATTTTGATTGTAATGAATATGCTAGTTCTGTGCATTAAACTGGATCCAAAAGCACTTATCAGCAGTCAAAGTTTTTTCTTTTGTTTTGTTTCTTGTTCGAATGAGATTTTAGACTATAATCATACTCTGAATTACTCCTAATGGGATAATGACTTTTATTTTGGAGAAGAGAGATGAATATTAATATACCCACATAGTTTCCTCGTAGACTATTAGAATTAAGATTAGCTTTGTTTAATTCATCAATAGACAGAGAATTGCTGGAAGTTTGGAGGGGAGGGGATTTCTGCTTGTAAACTTAGTGCTATTTCTCTTCATTTTGTACCTGAGAAGATGCTACTTGCTTTGAAAAGGACCTATTTGTTTTTGATAACTTCCTTAAGGTCTAACCATACTCTTCAGTGGTAGTTTCAGAGGACAAGAAGGAATATGCAATCCCAGGGACTTTTTTTTTTAATAAGTCAGATATAAACACAGAAAGAGTGACAAAAAGCTGTGTTTGTATCATCAAGTAAGGAAACAGGTTAAATTACATTTAGTTTTGTTGCAGTATATTGTCATTATTAATTTCATCAACTACTAAATCTTAGAATTAATTTTATGTCAGAGGCCTTAAGTAGCTTACATCATTACTACAAGTAAATTATAAAGGGGCTTTTTATGTATTTTCAGGCTGTTGTACAAATCGATCAATTGATCAACAAATATCTATTAGTTATACACTATGTGTAGGGTCGGTTCCAAAGCTATTGCAAAGCCTTGCGGTAATTAACAGGAGCTGCATTAACTTCAAATGGCCTGCATATTTGTGTAGTCAGTATGAATTAGTCATTTTGTTTGCAGACTTAACTCTGTGTCAATGTGTCATGGTAAAATTGGACTTTGTACTGTAAAATCAAGTAGGTTCCCAATCACTGTTATTGCCATAATACCACGTAAGTAATTGGACTAATGTGTCTAGGTCTCCCACTTCTTCATTTTTGCCTTCAGTGCCAAGTGTGACCATTATGATTCTACAGCATTCAGTTTTGATTTTAGTTGTTTCCATATGCATTGCTTTGTCGTTGTATATTTTTTCTGGGTTCTGCTTACTGCACTTTGTATAATTTCATATAAATCTTTCCATGACTCCCTATATTATTCTTAATGTTCATGGTTGCTTATGACACAGTAATATGTTATAACATATTCATGTACTACAATTTGTTTAGCAAATTTCTAATTCAAGGGCATCTACTTGGTTTCCAGTTCTTTGCTACCACAAAAGTGTTTTTCTAAATATGTTCATGTCTGTTGGACCTTTCTTCCTTACTTTGATCTCCTTGTAAGCCCAGCATTAAGATCTGTAAATCAAAGAGTGTGGACATGAACAGTTTAGTAACTCTTAAGGGTATAATTCTGCATGGCTTTCTAGAATGCTTGGCCAATTTTACAACTTCACCAGCAGTATCTTAGTGTGACTTTCTCTCTGCTTTTTTGGAATTTTACTGGGTTTGAAGTAAAACCACAGTAGTTTTTATTTTAATTTCTCTAGTTAGCGATTTGGAGCGGTCTTCCACGTATTGATTAATAGTCTGCGATTCTTCTTTTGAGAACTGTTTGTTGATACCTTTTGCCCACTGGTCCCTTGAAGAATGACTTTGAGTCTTATATATGTATTTTTTATTCCCCTGAATATACTCATGTCTAATGCTGAGTTTGCCTCTGATTTTTTAAGGAAATTCTTAACAAAAATTCATTTTAAAATAGCTCATATTCTTATGTTAAAATATATTAGAACAATTGAGGGGAGAAAGAGAAACTCTCATTAATTAACTACTTTGTGAGAGATTATCCATGGCCTCCAGTGAATTGCCTTTTCTCAGTTCTTCACCCTGGTCTCTGTTCACCCTTTAACAGTTTGCTTCTGGGTAGTTTGAAAAAAGAGTGGTTCTTTAAAAATCCATGAATTTGGACTTTGCATGCACACTTTATATTCATACATTTAGCTGTAAAGTATAAATTCTTGATGAAATATGGAATAGTCCAACAACTTTTGGCTTTGTAATTTGTGTTGACAGGCAAACTGTGGACAAGGAGTATGAAGGTTGCTTACAACATTCTACATAAATTAGGTACAAAACAGGAACCCATGGTGCGGCCTGGAGACAGGGTAAGTATTAAGTTACAGGATTTGTAAATTTGTGAATTATCTGTATTACCTGTAGATCTTATTAAATACCCAACAATGATTTAAATCCCAGAGTTCAGCCCTTCCCAAGTACACTATGTACTTCTATGCCCTACCTAGGAAAGTGGAACAAATACATTTCTTATCTAATCCTGGCTATCTATCCACACTAAAGAGGCAAAGATCTTTGGCCGCAAACTGATGCTTTTCCTTCTTTGTTACTAAAGTTCTCTTTAGTATGCCTTAGAATCATAAAGCAATTTATATTTTACAAAGTGCTTTCACATGTGTTAGGTTATTTGATCCTCCTAACTACCTTGCTGGGTAAATGGAAACAATACTTTTAACTCTATTGTCCGAGGTGAAAAAAATGAAAAATGAATTTATTTGCCTAAAAGTATATAGTAAGAGAGAATTAATGGCAGTACTGGCACCTGAACCCATGTCCTCGTATCTACCATACCATTCTACAGAAGCTGTTGACTTCACATTTGTATCATGTGAAGATTATAATAGTTACAGGGTCATGAGATCATATATTAAGTGTGAGAAGTTCCCTCAGAGACCACTTGACCACAGATTACAATTTGAGAACCCAGATAACCTTAGCCTGGCCCCTTTTTGAAGCAAAAATAGGCAATGAAGGATAATTGACCTTCTCTCTCACTCTATAGCCCCATAAGCCAGTAGAGGTCAAAGCAATGATTTATTTGCACTGTAGGGAAAATAATAGATTGGACCAGATGATCTCTTGAAATCATTTCTCACTTTAGTATTCTAAGATGAACTATGGATCCCTCTAATTTGGGAATAATTAAATTTGAAATCTGTCTCTGCAATGTCAATGTAAAGTATGTATGTTTATGGAATATTTCTACATTTCATCTAATTGACTGAAGTTAGGAATGTAGATATTGAAATACAATGAGAACATGGTCATAGTATGGTGGTTTCCAAATCTGTTTGTTTGCAATTTGGCATCCAGATTCTGGGAGTCCCTGGAGAATAGTAATTGCAGATTAAGCTGACATGTATTGAACTGAGATGTGGGTGGGGGTTTGGAGAGCACAAAATTAAGTGACAATAAAATGTGGAGAAAAATATGGGTTGTTTTTTTTTTAAGTGTTTACTTAGGGGTTTTTTTTCCACCAATAGAAAAACTATTCACATGTCTAGCATCTGGCACTTGTGTGTGACTGCTTCTTAAATAAGCACTCCCAATTAGAGTACTTATTTGGTTGAAGCCTGCTCTTCTAACAAACTGGATTCTCCCTCTTTGTGAAAAATCTTGTCACTTTTTCCAAAAGAGATTTCTTTTTCCTCAGTGTAATGAGCATTCAGGAGTTGGCATGTTTATAAACCGCATTTGTGTGGATGACATTTTCTTTTCTTTTGTTAAAAAATTGGGATGCTAACACTTTTGGGCTCTAAGAGGGACATTACAGATGACCACTAAGGTCCCTGCCAACTCCAAAATTCTCTGATTCAGATGCTTGTAGCCCAAGGCCACAGCCAGATAACTGACACAGCAGCTTTAAAAGCCAGTTGCTTTTCCTCCCAAGTTAGCATGGCCAGCTGGGAAGTATTTTAGTGCCTGTGGACATTCATACTAACTAGAATACTAGCTGTTTCTCATCTGTAGATATGTTTAGCTGCTTTGCTCATTCTTTGCTGAAGATCCATCAGGAACTCTTGATGAATTAGGATAATTAGGGGCCAGACCTACCTACATTCCTTTAATCTCCCCAGTGTACTACAAGGTTTCTGAGGTAAATAAGGAGGGATTGGAGATTTGGGGTAAAGAGATATCCCTCAAATCCAGAGCTCTTGTTCTGAACTATAACTCAATTGCTTAAGCGTCTCTATTCACTTTATCTTCCGTTATTGATATCAATCTTCACAAAGCATCTTCATTTACTTTACCTAAGTATGGTAATTCATGAAGGTCAGAAATATGGGGAAAAGGGCACAAGATTTCAGAGTTTTCTTAGTTTAAATCATGAACCTAAAATGTACCATTAGACTCTCTGCATCTAGTTTAGATGAGTTATTTTATCATTATATAATATATATATATATACACATATGTATATATATGTATATATATATATTACATTGGTTAATATATATTAAATAATCACACTTATTTGTCTCAATATTCTTAGGAAATATAATGAATTTTTGTTCCTATTAAACTCTTTTTAAGAGTTTATTTTATTTTTTAAAATTAGGTAACACTGCAAGGACTTTCATTTGTGAGGTCTCTTTGCTTCTATAGCATTATTTGCTTTAACTTCTATGAAACTATGGGATTTGGCATTTTGGATAAAGGTTTCTTGATTCGTGTGAAGTCTTAATTTGAAAGCTGTATTGAGAGCCAGAATGAAACCCAAACTAGATCAGTGATACATTGTTTGACTTTGGGAAACAAACAAAACACTTGGCTTCACTTATCTCAGTTTCACCATTTGGAACAATGTTGCTAAATGTCCTGGGAAGAGTGATGAATTGATGCTTACATGGTGTCACGCTTTCTCAGAAAAAGAAACCTGTAGTACCAACAGGGTAGAACCAATTTCTCCTCTCATTCAGAGAGGTTAGTGTTGTTTTGGTTAAACTGGTTAAATTTTAAAAGGAATTAATGTAGGTATAATATTTATACGTCAATCATGGGTTTAATACGCTTATGAAAATAAGTGTGTATAACAATTAAAGAAGTGATACATGGAAAAATAGCACTTGATATTGAGTCACTCAATAAAATCGCTGTTGAAAGGGCATTGCATGTATTCTTAATTATGTTATTAAAGTAAATAGGTAGCATGGATATTATAGAAGTGTCAAACGTGGCCCACAAAACTCCCAAATGTCAAATATCAGGCAGCAGAATTGGAGTCATGAAGACCTGGGTTCCAAGCCTGGCTCAGATACGTACCTCTCTGTGCCTCAGTTTCCTCATTTGTAAAATGAAGGTGGTGGACTCTATAATGTGTCTGACTTTTTTCAGTAGTGGACTTATGGTCCTACAGTGCTTTGATTTAAGGGAAGACCTCAAGTCTCCCCTTAATCTATCATGGCCCTAAATCCTGAGCAGTGGGGCTGGCTCTGCAGACCTTCTGTCATGACAAGTCTCCCATTGTGTTCTGTGCTCTGTGTCTCTCTTTCAGGTAGCACTGGTATTCCCTAATAATGACCCTGCTGCTTTCATGGTCGCCTTTTACGGCTGCTTACTGGCTGAAGTTGTTCCTGTCCCCATTGAAGTGCCACTTACCAGAAAGGTAAAGAATGCATTTTTCCCCCGGCATTATTATTAAAGCCTATTTTAAAAGTAATGACAAACCATAGCGCAGCTGAAGGTGGCCTATTGTGAAGCAAAAATGGGCAGGCAGACTCTTTCTTTAAAAGTGCCTCTTCATCTCAGCGGGAGATGAATCGTGAGGCCCTGCAAATTATGGATTGTTTTTGAGACACGCTGCTGTTTTTTATCAGTTACCATCTCAGGAAAGGGGACAGTTATCAACCTACTCATCATGCCTTTAAATGCTCTGTTTACTAGGAGAGGTTTGGGGAGGGGGAGAAGGGGAGTAGAGAAGGGTGTGTTTATACACTGCCTGAATGTCCAGATGGGAAGTGAAAAATGAGGAAATCACATCATGTTTCAAGTATTTGCTTGTTTGGAATCATGTAGACCAAGCACTTAGATGGGCGATGGAATGACCTGCTGTTTATCCAGGTGCTTTACCATCATTTATTCATAGATACAGTCCTTTGAAGAAGAATCAGTTATGCAGTAGAAATGTTGGCCTTTGGACCTGGTTCAAATTTTGCCCCTGCCATTTATTACCTATGTGGTCTTGGGCAAGTCACTTAACTCTTCTGGGCCTCAGTTTCTTCCTTTATAAAATTAAGAAGTAAAATTAAGACCTCTAATGTCCCACATCTTATAGTAGCATCTCAGATTTAGAGTTCGGAGGCATGGCAGGGCCGTCTAGGCCAACCCTCTTGTTTTACAGATGAGAGAATTGAGGCCTAGGGTGGTTAAGTAATTAGATAAGGTCACATAGGTAGCCAGTAGCAAGGGTAAGATTTGAACCCAGGTTCTCTGGCCAATCGTATGTACACTCCTCTTGGAGTCCAATTCATGATCAGAATTGCTTAGGATTTGGTTAAATGTGTAACACTCACATACATCAGTGTCAAAAGACTGGCATCATTTTGTATGTACAAAACATATGCTTTTGCAGAAAAGTTTTGTTAAATGTAGTCTCACTGTGTTTTTAAAGCCATGAATTATAATTAGATTTTCAGCTAGTTTAAATAGATGAATGCTCTGTATGAGCTAAAGCTTATATGTGATTATACTGAGGTTTTGAAATCATTTAATGAGTGATATATTATTCTTGAACACAAAATTACAGTAACCTGAAAATTACAGTAGAACAGGCAAACTAGCACACCCAAGATGTCTGCCAAATGAATCACGACAAGCAGGCTATGTGCTGCTGTGGTAAGAAAAGTAGAATTGAAAGTGAGGAGGGCAGGCATCTAATCCCAGGTAGACCAACTAGCCTTGTGACCTTGATTGTGTGATGTAACCTCTGGGCCTCAGTTTCCCAGGGAAATCTCTCAGGTTCCCTTTTAGCTCTAACAGTCTAGGAATGAGTGTTTTTAAAATCTTCACTGCCATAATGAGAACAGATAGCGATACAAAACAAGTCCCAAGTGTTGTCCAGGCTGTCTCTTGTTGCATAATTGCAACTTCAGTCATGTATCCCCATGTGGAAAAAGAGATAAATGGGGACTCCTTTGAAAATGTGGTTCAGAAAAATATGATGGTTGCCAGGACTTTGTTCTGTAAAGTTAAAGGAGTCCCTCCCCTGTTCTGACAGCAGTGATTGGGCTGAATTTGGGGTTTCACAGTCACCCTGACAAAACTTGGGATGTTAGAGGACCTGGCAGGGGGCAGGTCCATGGGGCTTCTTTGCTCCCCTTGCTCTTACTACTAATAAGGCTGGAAGAGGCTCTAAACTGTATCCCTTGGAGTCAGTCACTTTGTTTTTGGAAGCTTGGGTGTAGTACCCCATTATTTTTCAGGGTGGCCCTGGTTTTTCCAAAGATTCACCCTAACCTGATTGGATATCTGGATAGCAGACCTCTCATCCCTGCCTCTTTGCTGTCAGATTTCTAAGCTTTCTCAAGCATGTCTTGTAGAGGCCAGCTAAGGGGAAAATGATCTCTCCTTCCACAAATGTTCCTGAGGAATTTTGTCCAGATCTCTTCCTTGCCTCCCTCTTATCATGATAATTCATGTATCCATTTTGTATGGACTGAGTCCGCTTGATATAGTGGTTAGAGTGCTAAGCTTGGAGTCATGAAGCCCTGGGCTCACAGCCAACTGCTTATGCTTTTTAGTTGTCTGACCTTGACACTTAACTTATTTTAAGGGAATCCACTCCCTTAATTAATCTTGACTTACCTACTCAATCATAAATGGATTGGGATCAGCGTTATTGGAGGTAATCCCCATACTAGGAGATCCTCATGCTGATGAAATCACAGATCCTTTACTTAGTCTCCTTCTTGGATTGTTAGCCACTTGCAGGCACAGACTTTGCATCCCTGTTGCCCTCAGCACTGTCTTACACATAGCAGACCCTTAATATGTTTTTACTGAATTGAATCTCTTATGATATGAGTCATAGGTTAAGACGTGGTTGACCCTGTGGCATGAATGCATCACAGAATACTCATCAGTAGAGTAATGCATGCCTGGATCTTAGATAACTTGATGGTGAGAACAGGTCCACCTCGCCCCTTCCCAAAGTAGGACACTCAGAGAACAAGGCAAATACACTAACAGAAACAAAAAGAAAGATGTTTGGGAATACCCATTCTCTTATCATGCTAGTCTTCTGTACCAAGTCCTTGTAAGACTCTGAATACATGTTATGGTGAATAATTTCCAATCACAGGCAATAGAAACCCTGTTAATATGTCCTAATGACAGGCAACCCTAGTGTAAGACAGAGGCTGATGAGTTTCTCAATCCTATTGGCTCCAGCTGCTGGCTTCCTGACCCCACCATTCATTTGTACTATCTTTAATACTGTGCTCACTATGAGGCTCAAAGGCTGTTATGGATCTTTCCTTTCCAACACTTTCACATACCCTATTCAGTGCAAACTGCTATTCCCAAACAGTCTCTGTGTTTTCCTCCCAAAGTCATTTCTCCCACCATTCTTTTCTCTTGTAATACCCATTTCTTCCCCTTTACTGCCTATCCAGATCTCATCTTTGATGCCCAGCTTCATTTCTGTCTCTTCTAGGAAGTTTTCCCTGATTCCCCTAAGCTAGAACTACTTTCTCCCTTCTGAATTTCCATACTCTTTTGTTTATATTCTCTGAAGTTATGATACTCTCCATTGTTACTTTTTGACTGTAATCTCCTTGAGGACAGGAAACATACTTTATTCATAATGTAGCCCCTGTGGTGTCATTTAAAGCTAGGTCCCAATAGTGCAAATAATTAACTCTATGAAGTAGTCACATTATTCAAATATGCACTATTCAGCATAAAATTGTATATAAAATATGGTAATCATTGCCAACACAATGAAAATATACAATTAAAATTCAAATAATACAACAATTTTCCAGGGATCATTTTTTCTCAGTAATTGAGATTTCACTGTATGTATTTGGCACTCAACAAATGCTATTTTAAAAATGAATGAGTAAATATATAGAAAACGACTTCAGTGCTTCAATCCATGATTTCGTGGGTGACGAATATCATAACTCCTTTCTGCCTTGGTAGATGGCTTTTGAGGTTGTGGCTAAAAACATTTACTACTCAAAGGTCAAAAGCCTCACTATCATATGTCATATAATGAGTTGGCTATGTGTCTGTCTTTTGGACTCTTTGCTGAAATTTGGAGGTTTAAACATCTTATTATGGAGAATTTTTCTAATTAAATGGAAGCATGAAATCATGATGTATGTGTGTGGTCTGAATCCAGATTAGGATAAAGGATAAGCATTTATTATATTATTCCCTTGGGGGAAGGGGAGTGTGTGTGTGTGTGTGTGTATGTGTGTATGTATGTGATATTTCTCTTTTCCTTTTTATGGTGCAGGAATGAGAGTGGAAAGAATGAGCTAGAAATCAATCTTTGTGAACAATCCTAAGAGGAATGCTTTTGCTTGGTCAAAGGATAGCAGATTTGTTTCTGGCAGTGACAGGAAGATATGTCCTCTGGGCATGTGTGTGTGTGTGTGTGTGTGTGTGTGTTGTGTGTGTGTGTGTGTGTGTCTTTGTGTCTATATGTTATCACAGAGTGGCCTGGGTGGATCTTTTCTATTGTTTGATCGTTTGCCTGCATGCCTCAGCTAGCACAGGCTGTAACCTGCACAGATGGAGTGGCTGATGGAACAGTTGATGACCCATGGTGGGCTGTGGGTCAGTTGCTGCCCACCAAAAAATATATTGGGAGTCAGATGGGAAATCTCAAACATGCTTGTCATCAGTAGTGGAGAACGGCTAGTTTTTGCCCATTGGCAGTGGAAGGCAGAGGCAGTAGGAGACAGGCACAAGGGAGAAGAGGGAGCTTTCATACTTTGACCATTGGAGTGGTGTCCAGTAGAGCAAAATAACCCTATAGGTGGAATTCACCTTTTCATTGTTCAAGGAAGTATTTTTTGTGCCAAACATTGTGACTTTGAACTTAAGAAATGTTGAGACTTACAAAACTATTTTTTTTATTTTCTTATTTTTTACTAATGGGAGAGACGTTACTATACCACATTAGAGAGGGGAAGCCTCTTTGAAGTAAGCTGTATTCAAAGTTTTCAGATGGTCTCTTAGTGTTTGAAGTATTTCCCCTTCCTGTAGCATGCTTTAATTCCTCTATGCCTCCAGACAGCTTGTATTTACTCTGTATATGTTTTGTGAACATCTCTATCTATCTATCTATCTATCTATATATCTATCTATCTATCTATCTATCTATCTATCTATATCAGATCCCTAACCTTTAGTACAGTGTCTGGCACATAGGATACTCTTAATAAATGCTTATTGAATTGAATTATAACCAGGAACTTAAATGGAACCAAATGAAAACAAAAATGAACAACACCAATTTTCTTAGCTCTGGACCAAAGCAAACCTAGATATTAACTTACTAACTTACACACTAATATGAATTTCTACTCAAACTTGAGGTGTTCTCTTTAAAGACATCCGCTGAAACAGTTTGAACCAGAACCCAAGCTTTTT